CAAGCAAAATGTGTCATGTTGACCATGAGTGCCGCTGTTTAGGCCTGTGTGTTCACTGTTCTGAACATGTGGAGTTGACGTCTGCATCAAAGCAAACAAGAAAAACTGTAATACAGATTAAAAAATATTATTAACCAAACCAAAAAAAGAGAAATCAACATTTTCAGCAGTTTTGTTTCCCGTTGACGTCTGCTGTACAGTAAAAATGAAAATAAATTCAAAGGAAATCCAGCATGATTGCGTAAACTGAGCTTTTCTCTCTCAATTGACGACTGTTCCATCTATCCCTCTAAACAGGTTAAGAGTCTGGGTGTCATCCTTGACACCCTATCGTTTAATTCTCATGTCAATAACATCACCCGGTCTGCTTACTTCCACCTACACAACATTAACCGTCTCCGCTCTTCTCTTACCCCTTACACCACTGCTGTTCTCGTTCATAGCCGTGTCACATCTCATTTAGATTACTGCAACTCTCTTCTCTTTGGTCTCACTCATAAATCTCTCCGTAAGCTTCAGTTGGTCCAGAACTCAGCTGCCCGTATCATCACCATCACCCTTCTTCTCATCACATCACCCCTGTCCTGCAGCAGCTTCACTGGTCACCTGTTCATTTTCCAATTGACTTTAAAATCTTGATGTTAACATTCAAAGCCATCCACAGTCTCTCCCCTCCATATTTGTCTGCCCTCATCCACATTTCTGTTCCTTCTCGCACCCTGCCATCTTCTTCCTCCCTCCACTTGTCTGTTCCCTCTTCTCGCCTTTCAACTATGGGCATCAGAGCCTTCAGCCGCTCTGCTCTGCAGCTTTGTAACTCATTACCACCTGCCATCAGAAACACTGACCCCCTCACACTGCTCAAATCAAAACTCAAAACCCACTTATATAAGATGGATTTTAATACTTCATTTTATTTGCACTATTGCTGTGTATGTTTTATTATTTCTCTTGTTGATTGAACGGTGTCCTTGAGTTGCTAGAAAGGCGCCTTTAAAGGGCCATGAAAGCCCCTCGTTTCAGCAGGCTGTTTTCACACCTCTACTTTGGGAAAAAGTCAGAAAAGTGGGCGTGTCCAGCTCTGTTTGGGGGGGAGTGTCGGAGGAAGAAAAGTGGGATGGTGTGGGAGTGTCTATTTGGGCACGCGCGAGTTTCAGAGTCAAAATACACACACACACACACAGGGGAGAAAGTGATGGTGTTTAACCTACATGGACATCTGTAGTCGAATTATTTGCCAAATTATTAAATGGTGGATTTTAACTGCAGTTTGGCTCTTTCATTCAGGGAATTCATTCATGGTCCTCGCGACAAACGAGATATTTGATTGGAGGAGCTGCTCTAAGCGTGTATTTTTCATGCAATGTTTGATACCGCACGGCGAATGAGAGGAACAAAAACCCTCAGCATTTCCCGGAAACTTAGATGCACACGGCAGGTAGCGTCAGAAAGTTATTCCGATCACTAAATGCGGTGAAAACCCTACACGAGGTTAAAGTTTGGTTGTGGTGCTAACGTGTTTACACTCGGTGCAATGGTGCACTTTACTGCAGCAAACTATAAAAGCAACACTTCACGCTTGTTTCGCCAACACAACGTGGCGTCTCTGTCGTCTAAACACTGTGACAGTAATGAATATTAATGAAGTTGCACAATAGAGCGCGCTGATTGGTTAGAACCAAGCTTTACTCATGCATTAATGCATCACACTGTAAGACGTAATAAGACACACTCTGGCACAGACGTCCAGTCTGCACGCTGGAATACACGCTATTATGTCATGACCGTGACGCAGCTTCAAAAATTTGTTTCAAACCGGAAGTACCAATTTGCTTGAAATAACGCAAAAACAACCAATTTACACTTTTTAGTGAAATATAGGCGTCCTAATAGTGTTTATAGCAGTGTGGGACACATATACCACTGTCAACAGCTCAACACATGTGTTCTGGTGCTTCGTGACACTTTAAATAAAATGTATTATTATTAATATTATTATTAAATATTGAGCGA